TTCCTTCCTTCCTTCCTTCCTTCCTTCCTTCCTTCCTTCCTTCCTTCTTCTAACCTGGAATACATGTATTGCTGGGTAGGAATCATTAGAGCAAATCAACAGAAAAACACAGCAACAAACCCTAATTTCCTTAATTTTCTTTAATCTCAATTTTACCTCTTGCATTTAGTCACAAACTTTAAAAAGTGAGATATTTAATATTTTAATATAATGAATTAAAGTTCAAACATGTTTAATTTTTTCACCCCAGAAACTTGTTTTTACCATGCTCAAAGTTCAAATCCCTTCCTTTGATTCTGGATTGCAAATTAATCTAGCCCAAGATACTGTTGTGCATGCAAATCATGAATTTACTGGGTTAAATATTGCTTGTTTCCCAGTTGGGCAAATTTGGCAGATTTAAGAAAGTTAATCAAGTCTACTAGGGAAGGCCGTATACTGGAGTGGAAGTCAAAAAAAGTATCTCAGAAGATGAAATTAATAGAAAACTTCTAAGAAAGCTGGAAGTTATCCTCAGGAGCTGAGCTCAACTCCAAGGAGACATTTCTTTAGACTTGTTTGGCTCAGTATTTTGTTATTTTTCTACTAGCCTTAGCACTGAAGCGTATACTTTTTCTACTAGACTAACACTATGTTTAACAAAATGCTTTTTATTTGTTACTTTTAAACAATCCTTAATAACATTTCATGGGGGTGCGATGGCCTAGTGTTTAAAAATGCTTGTTGATTGGAAGGCTGGCAGTTCAAGATCCAAATATTGCATGATTGTGCGAACTCCCACCCGTTCTTACCCCCGTTCCTACCAACTTAGGCAGTTTGAAAGCATGCAAATGTGAGTAGATAAATAGGCGCCATCACTTTGATGGGAAGGTAACACCTTCTGTGCACCTTTGGCATGTAGCCATGCTGGTCACATGACCCCAGAAATGTCTTCGGACAATGCTGGCTCCCTTGGTTAGGAAACAGAGATGAACACCAGTCCACAACTGGACAGGGGAAATGTTTACCTTTAAGAACTTTTCATTATTTTCGAGAGAACTGTTGTTGTTTCAGTATGTCCTGCTTGTTTTCTTAAGCTGGAAAGTTATTCTCATATTTAGTAAATTCATGGATGTTCAGGAAGTCCTGTAACTGTCATCAGGCAGCAGATTTGGCTACCTGGTGAAGATTCAATAGGCAACATACCTCTTTTGTTCCACTTGTGGTCCTCTTTAAACCCAAAA